CATGATTTTGTAGACCTCAATCACGTACCCCCTCAACCTCTGTCTTTCTAATGTAAATAATTCTAATCTACTCAACCTCCCTTCATAGCTAGCGCCCTCCATACCAGGCAACATCCTGGAGAACTTCCTCTGCACCCTATCCAAAGCATCTGCATCCTTTTGGTAATGTGGCGACCAGAACTGTACGCAATATTCCAAATGCAGTCAAACCAAAGTCTATACAACTAAAGCATGACCTGCCAACTCTTGTACTCAATACCCCGTCTGATGAATGAAAGCATGCCGTATGCCTTCTTGACCACTCTATCGACCTGCGTTGCCACCTTCAGGGTACAATGGACCTGAACACCCAGATCTCTCTGTGCATCAATTTTCCCCAGGGCTTTTCCATTTACCGTATAGTTCGCTCTTGAATTGGATCTTCCAAAATGCATCACCTTGCATTTGCCTGGATTGAACTCCTTCTGCCATTTCTCCACCCAACTCTCCAATCTATCTATATTCTGCTGCATTCTCCGACAGTTCCCTTCACTATCTGCTACTCCACCAATCTTAGTGTCATCTGCAAACTTGCTAATCAGACCATCTATACCTTCCTCAGATCATTTATGTATATCACAAACAACAGTGGTCCCAACACGGATCCCTGTGGAACACCACTGGTCACAGTTCTCCATTTTGAGAAACTCCCTTCCATTACAACTGTGTCTCCTGTTGCCCAGCCAGTTCTCTATCCATCCAGCTAGTACACCCTGGACTCCATGCGACTTCACTTTCTCCATCAGCCTACCATGGGGAATCTTATCAAACGCCTTACTGAAGTCCATGTATATGACATCTACAGCCCTTCCCTCATCTATCAACTTTGTCACTTCCTCAAAGAATTCTATCAAGTTGGTAAGACATGACCTTCCCTGCACAAAACCATGCTGCCTTTCACTAATAAGCCCATTTTTTTTCAAATGTAAATAGATCCTATCCCTCAGTATCTTCTCCAGCAGATTCCCCACCACTGACGTCAGGCTCACCGGTCTATAATTACCTGGATTATCCTTGCTACCCTTCTTAAACAAGGGGACAACATTAGCAATTCTCCAGTCCTCCGGGACCTCACCTGTGCTCAAGGATGCTACAAAGATATTTGTTAAGGCCCCAGCTATTTCCTCTCTCACTTCCCTCAGTAACCTGGGATAGATCCCATCTGGACCTGGGGACTTGTCCACCCTAATGCCTTTTAGAATACCCCCCTCCTTATGCCGACTTGACCTAGAGTAATCAAACATCTATCCCTAACCTCAACATCCGTCATGTCCCTCTCCTCGGTGAATACCGACGCAAAGTACTCATTAAGAATCTAAGCCCTTCCTATTCATATACCCATCCAGATGCCTTTTAAATGTTGCTATTGTACCAGCCTCCACCACTTCCTCTGGCAGCTCATTCCATACAAGCACCACCCTTTGTGTGAAGTTGACGCCCCTTAGGTCCCTTTTAAATCTTACCCCTCTCACTATAAACCTATGCCCTCTAGCTTTGGACTCCCCCACCCAGAGAAAAGATCTTGTCTATTTACCCTATCTGTGCCCCTCATGATTTTATAAACCTCTATGAAGTCACCTTTCAGTCTCTGATGCTCCAGGGAAAATAGCTCAAACCCTCCAACACTGACAACCATATAAATCTTTTATGAACCCTTTCAAGTTCCACAACATCCTTCCACAGCAGGGAGACCAGAATTGCACACAGTATTCCAAAAATGTGTCCTGTATAGCCATAACATTGTCTCCCAACTTCTACACTCAAGATACCGATCAATAAAGACAAGCATGGCAGCCCTCTGGGGACAGCACTGTAAATGACAAGCAACAGGTTCCACATCAAAGCTGATGCTTTTTCAGAAATGAGCTCAGGAGCAATCTGTTTAGATTCTTCAGTTCAAGTTTGGCATCGTTTCCAGACCCTCTGATTGAAAGCTGAAGTTGTCAACAAATTAGCCAATTGTGCAACAGCGCTGGTAGAAGTTAGACTAATTAATTTAAGATATCTGGTTGGCATGAATGAGTTGGACTGAAGGGTCTGTTTCCATGCTATACAGCTCTATCACTCATTTTGATAGTGATTACCAGACATACATCTTTTCACTGCTTGAATTAACAGCTGGGACTAACTGCAGTTCACTCAGAAGAACTTATAATTCCAGTCTGTCCAACAATTTGATGCGAAGACAGAATTGTAGTTAAAATGCTGTGATACGTGTGGGAAATAGCTGGATATTTGAAACGTGGATTCACAATTAATTCTGCAAAACTCTTTTTCCAGCTTCTCCCACTATAACTTCCCAGGAATGGTGTCGTACCATTTCAGTAAAAATATGCAATTGACACCTTATTAATAATTTGTGTTGTAATATTATCATTGAGGGTTTAAAGATCTGAGAGTTGATTTTATATCCTTTTAGAAGTGCAAAAACACTTCTGACTTCCTGAGGGATTTATTTTTAAAACAAAAATTTCTTCAACTGAGATTTTAAAGTTTGAATTTTGAATTTAATTTCAATTTCAATCTCAGAGGCTTATGAGACCAGGCTGCAAGTAGAGTGTGGCAGTGAAGGCTCTTGTGGTACATTGGAATTGTCCCTGCCTCTGGACCAGAAGGCCTGAAATCAAGTCCAACCTGCTCCAGACGTGTCATAACATGTCTGAACAGGTCAATGAGGAAAATACCTCGAGGCACTCAGCGCAAAGACATGCAGTACAGGAGGAAAAGGAAGTTGAGTGAAGGCCTTTAACAAGGTACAATTACAGCTAGAGACTTGCCTATAGCCCAGGGAGATTTAAGGATACTGCCACATTGATTATGATCTGAACGATCCACAGCACCAGCCATCATGGAGCTCAAATGAGGTCAAAAACAAAAATAAAATCTATTGTTCTGATGAAAAGCTTTCTTTCTAATGTTAGTTAATAAAATCATCAGGTGGGAAAATGATTTAAAGATGTCACAAATTCAATCTTCTATTCAATTTGTCCCAGCTGTTAACTATGGTCATGGCTGGAAACAGTTAAAATGGAAAATATGAAAATTTCAAAAACCTAAGAAACCCTGTAGATATTTCAAGGGACTTCAGAGAAGCAAACTAAAAATGGATGGCAAACCAAAGGAGGAGCAGGAGGGGGGAATGACTGAAAAATCTGTCAGAGGTGAGTTCATGGAGCATTTTATAGGTGGTGGTGGGAGAGAGGGGCTGGGAGGTTAGGAATGGAATTCTAAAGCTTGGGCTATGCAGCTGAAAGAACAATCATTAAGTGGCACTGAGGAACATAGGGATCAAATATCTAATGCAATCTCCAATACTGGATGAACTCTGATTGTGGATGGAGGTTGCATTATAGAAAATTATAAATGGGAGAGGGTGGGGTTGTAAGGCTCCAGAAGGATTTGAAGACAATGATGATTATTTGAAAGCCAACGTGTTGGACTAGGAGTCAGTGGGTCACCAAGTACAAGGATGAAATCAAATGAGTATGGAGGCATTATAGAAGAGGTACAGGACTTTAGAACAATTGAGGTTTCCAAAATATGCAGGCTGGGAGGAAGAGAGCATTGGAATGGTGCGGTCTAGAAATGACAAGGCATTGGTGAGGGTTATAGCAGATATTGGATGTAGGAGTGGAGTCTGGTTACGTACGAAGGTGAAAGTGGAGGCTCTGTGCATTGGAGATGATAATGAGTTAGAACCTCAAATTTGGGAATAGTCTTATTCAACCAGAGACTGATGAGGGAGGGGAATGAAATTGATCCAAGTGAAGAGAGTTTTGTTCTCAAAAGAACAAACAAGTGCAGATACCATTGAGCTGTCCATACGTTGAGGGCCAGTTTGGTAGGACATAGGGTAGACCCCTTGTGCTCACTGTTCAAAGTGCATTCACACAGCACCTCTTTCTTTATGTTGTCAGAAATGAAAAGTTAACATAGCCAATAAAGAGGCTTTAAATAATAAATAACCAGAAACTGACTACAGCTTTCTTCAAGATATTAAAGAGGAGTGTGCATAAGGGAAGCAAAGCAGCAGGAGCTGCAGGTAAACACACTTTGTGCATACGGGGTCATTGTGGAAACTAGAAGTGTCCCTGATTTCCGACACATTGCACGTGGAGTGTTCCATGTAGCCAGGTTCTAGTGCCATTGTGAATCGTATTGACTAAATCAACCTTATCACCTTCAGACAATAATGCAGGAACTTATTACACAACTTTACCAAACTCGGGTCTCTCATTCCTGCTCTGTATTCCTAGCAGACTACAATGACAAAAAGTAATTTCCCTCTCCCCAGACATCAATCACTCAGTCTGCAAACCTCATCCCTGAGCAGCCAAGCCTTGGTCACTTTTTGAGTCAGGACATCACCTCTGGAGCTCCACCTCTAGGTTCACCACTCCACCGCACCACCACCACCACCACCTCCTCCCCCCCCCCCCCCCCTTCACCCTGACTCACCCCGCCCCTCAGGTATTTACCCTGTTTACCACACCCCGCCACCACACCCCTCCCCCCCACCCCCACCCCTGGGTTCACTCTGTTGCTGCTCAGACCTGACCCAGATTATCCAACATTCTGCATGTAGTCCTGCATGTTACTGCCAGCAATTAAGTGTTTTGTTTTTCTGCACTTTGTGGCTTCTCTTTTTCTTCAGGAGCTCCTTACTGTTAGGACTAGATAAACATCTTCCAGGATTTAGCTCATCATAAAGTGCTGCACCTAAACTATAAAACAGAAACAAATGATTACCCTCAAGTTCTCAAGGCCACACATCACCTCGACATTGCCAACAAATGGAGATTTAAGAGAATGTGTCTGTGAATACAGTTTCGAGCTCCCTTTCAATACAGCCGATCCTCAACAATTGAGAACACCAGATTTCATGGAGTCTTTTGTCTTTCCTTCCCATTTATTTCTCTCTGTTCACTCTCCTTGTACCTTGCTTCATTCGCCGTACTTACTGTCTGGGTTGTTTTGTACTTGGCCTTGAAGTGATCGGCAACTGTTCACGTGCCCTCCCTTTGAGGAGGCAGGTTCTGTAGAAACTGCAAATCCAACCTAGAGTTGAGGAAGTTAAGGATAAGAGTATTAATAACACTGGAGTCACAAGGATTGAGATGCCTTGTGCAATAAGGAATTAGAGTACACACAAGGTTTGGGGGTTTCCCAGAATTTCACATTTAAACTGCTCCACAGCAGTAGCAACGCAGCTCAAAGTCACAAACGACATTCATGTGACAAAGAGTAAACCTTCTCTCCTTGTCCTTCTCAACCTGTCCACCTTTGACATGATTGACAATACTATCCTGCTTCAACACCTCCCCACTCTTGTCCAATTAGCTGGGACTCTCTCACTCGAGTCCCTTCTAACTGTGACCAGAGAATCTCTTGCAATGACTTCTCTTTGTACTCTCTTGCCATTACCAATGGTGTCCCTTAGGATTTATCCTTGGTCCTTCCTATTTATCAGCTACACATGGTCCCTCAGGGACATTGGCAAAGGTGGAGTGTTGGTCTTCATACAGACACTAACTCTACCCTGCTTGATATGATTATTACCTCCTTCCACCACTCCTAAATCAGCAGGTTGTGTGTGTCGAAGAGCAGAAATTTCCTCCTATTAAATGGTAAGATAACTGGAATCACAGTTTTCAGTTCCCGCTCCAAACTCCATCCCTTGTCCTGGTAACAGCCTCAGGTTCAGCCAGTCTCTTTGCAACCTCAGGTGTCCCATTTGTCCCAGAGATAAACGATGCACGAGTAAGACCATCTACCTGAGATCACACTGCTGTTAGGGATTGTCTGTGAATTGGTATGAATTAGAAAGGTGCAATTTGTTTTTGGAATAAGGACCATCAGAAACAGTGGAAGTCAGTGCCAACATAATAAAGAAATATAAATAAACCAAAGTAGGATAAAGAAAGGAGAGTAAAACTAACGTAACAGAAGAAAGTTTAAGACAAGTTATGGTTGGGGAGCTCAGTTCCAGGTACTGCATGGCCTGCAGTATGTGGAAAATTTTAAGACACTGCTAGCCGCCTGGATGATCCTTTCTGCAGGAAGTGCTGCTGCTTTAACTAGCTGGACTGTCAGCTGGAGGCACAGCAGTACATGCAGGAGGCTGGCAGTGAAGAGCATGTTTTTAGACATGGTCACCCCGCAGCTTAAGAAAAGGGAATGGGTGACCATCACTAAAAAGAAAGGAGACAAGCATGTAGACAGGAAAGCCCCAGAGAACATCTCACTCAAGAACAGATTGAGTGTGTTGGAAAATGGCGGGAGTGCAGCCAAAGACCAGCTGCACAAGTGATGGGGGAGGAGAGAGGGAGAACAATATCGTGGTCAGAGTAAGGGGTACAAACAAGTGTTCCAGTGGCAGTCAGTCATTCAAGGGAGAATTGGGTCTATGCAGGCCATAATGTTCTCATAAAGGTGAAAGGTGGAGGGGGGAGCCCAACAATTCCAGAAAACCCTGGAATGTCAAGGGATGTACAGGATTAGATAAGGAAAAATAAGGAAGCTTATAGTAGATTCTGAAGGCTAGAACATTGGAAGCCAAGAGGAGAATAGAGTGTGCAAGGGGTTGTTTTAAAATGAAGTTAAGAAAGCAAAGAAGGGACATGAGAAAAACACTGGTGAGTAACATTAAGGATAATCCAAACGTGTTTTACAAGTATATTAGGGACACAAAAATAATCAGGGAAAAAGTAGGGCCCATTAGAGACCAAAGTGGCAACGTGTGTGTGGAGTCCGCTGAGGTTTTAAATTAGTACTTTACATCTGTATTTATTCTAGAGAAGGATGACGTGGGTCCAGAAATCACAGTGAGGGACTGTGATACTTGAACATTTTAACATGAGAGGGAGGAGGTATTAATAGTTTTAGCAGGTTTGAAAGTGGATAAATACCCAGACCCAGACAAGATGTATCTGATGCTGCTGTGGGAGATAAGGGAAGAGAATGAAGGGGCTCTGACATTAATTTTCAAATCCTCTCAGGCCACAGCAGTGCCAGACTACCATTATTCAACAAGGGTGATAGGGATAAACCAGGAAACTACAGGCCTGACAGCCTAACATCAGTGGGTGGAAACTATTGGAAAAAAAAACTCTTGAGGACAGAATTAATTGCTACTCAGAGAGGCATGGGTTAATCACAGATAGCATGGCTTTGTTAAGGGAAATCTAACAAATTTGATTGAATTTTAAGGTTAATAGCTATGGAGATGTAGGTAGTGCAGTGGATATGGCCTACATGGACTTCAGTAAGGCTTTTAACAAGAGTTTCACATGACAGACTAGTTAAGAGATGAAGAGCACATGGGATCCACAGCAATTCGGCAAATTGGATCCATCACTGGTTTGTGGCAGGAATTGAGGGTGATGATTGAAGGGTGTTTACATGACTGGGAGCCTTTATCTAGTGGTGTACCACAGTGTTTGGTGATGGACCCCTTGCTGTTTGTTAGACATGAATGTAGGAGGTTTATCAGTCAGTTCTCAAAAAAAAAAAATGGCGTGGTAGATAGCAAGAAAAAAATAGTCAGATACAGGATGATATAGACAGGCCAGTCAGATGGGCTGAACAGTGGTAAATGGACTTAAATCCTGAAAAGTGTGAAGTGATGCTTTTTGGGAGGATTACCAAAGCAAGGAAGTACTTCACAGCAGGACAGGTTCGTAAAGTGGTTGAGATGGGATACTTGCCTTTATTTATCAAGGCACTGAATGCAAGAGCAAGGAGGTTATGTATACAACATTAGTTAGGCCACAGCTGAAATACAATGAGAAGCTCTGCTTTGACAACATAAGAAGGTTGTGACTGCACGAGAAAGGGTGCAGAGAAGATTCTGGAGCATGTTACCCGGATTGGAGCAATTTGGCGATGAAGAGGTTGGATAAGCTTGGATTGTTTACCTTAGAGCAGAGAAGGCAGAGGGAGGGGGATCTGATTGAGGTGCACACTGTTCTGAGGGGCACAGATAAGGTCAAAAATCACACGACACCAGGTTACAGTCCAACAGGGTTTATTTGAAAACGCAAGCTTTTGAAGCTCAGCTCCTTCCTTAGGTGTAGTGTGACAGGGAGGGTAAAAGACACATAATTTATAAGTAAAAACAACCATAAAACTGGCTGTGGAGATAGTGGGAACTGCAGATGCTGGAGAATCTGAGATAACAAGGTGTAGAGCTGGATGAACACAGCAGGCCAAGCAGCATCAGAGGAGCAGGAAAGCTGACGTTTCAGGCCTAGACCCTTCTTCAGAAATGGGGAAGGGGAGGGGGGTTCTGAAATAAATAGGGAGAGAGGTGGAGGCGGATAGAAGATGGATAGAGGAGAAGATAGATGGAGAGGAGACAGACAGGTCAAAGAGGCGGGGATGGAGCCAGTAAAGGTGACTGTAGGTGGGGAGTTAGGGAGGAGATAGGTCAGTCCAGGGAGGACGGACAGGTCAAGGGGGCAGGATGAGGTTAGTAGGTAGGAGATGGGGGTTGGGCTTGAGGTGGGAGGAGGGGATAGGTGGGAGGAAGGGCAGGTTAGGGAGGCGGGGACGAGCTGGGCTGGTTTTGGGATGTGGTAGGGGGAGGGTAGATTTTGAAGCTTGTGAAGTCCACATTGATATCATTGGGCTGCAGGGTTCCCAAGCGGAATATGAGTTGCTGTTCCTGAAACCTTCGGGTGGCATTGTTGTGGCACTGCAGGAGGCCCAGGATGGACATGTCGTCTGAGGAATGGGAGGGGGGAGTTGAAATGGTTCGCGACTAGGAGGTGCAGTCGTTTGTTGCGAACCGAGTGTAGCTGTTCCGCAAAGCGGTCCCCAAGCCTCCGCTTGGTTTCCCCAAAGTGGAGGAGGCCACAACGGGAACAGCAGATGCAGTATACCACATTAGCAGATGAACATCTGCTTGATGTGGAAAGTCTTCTTGGGGCCTGGGATGGGGGTGAGGGGGGAGGTGTAGCACTTCACTTCCTGCGGTTGCAGGGAAAAGTGCGGGTGTGGTGGGGCTGGAGGGGAGTGTTGAGCAGACAAGGGAATCACAGAGAAAGTGGTCCCTCTGGAAAGCAGATAAGGGTGGGGAGGGAAAAATGTCTTTGCTGGTGGAGTTGGATCGCAGATGGCAGAAGTGTCGGAGGATGATGCATTGGATCCGGAGGTTGGTGGGGTGGTACGTGAGGACGAGGGGGATTCTGTTTTGGTTGTTATTGCGGGGAGGGGGTGAGAGGGATGAGTTGCGGGAGACATGGTCGAGGGCGTTCTCGACCACTGTGGCGGGTGGGGAGGGGGGGTGGTGGTAGACTTGCGGTCCTTGAAAAACGAGGACATCTGAGATGTACGGGAGTGGAATGCCTCATCCTGGGAGGCAGATGCGGCGGAGGCCAAGGAATTGGGAATAGGGGATGGCATTTTTGCAGGAAGGTGGGTGAGAGGAGGTGTATTCTGGGTAGCCGTGGGAGTCGGTGGACTTGAAATGGATATCGGTTTCCAGGTGGTTGCCCGAGATGGAGACAGAGGTCCAGGAAGGAGAGAGAGTTATTCGAGATGGTCCAGGTGAACTTAAGGTTGGGGTGGAAGGTGTTGGTGAGGTGGATGAACTGGTTGAGCTCCTCGTGGGAACACGAGGTGGCGCCGATACAGTCATCAATGTAATGGAGGAAGAGGTGGGGGATAGGGCCAGTGTAGGTACGGAAGAGGGATTGTTCCACGTAACCGACAAAGAGGCAGGCATAGCTTGGGCCCATGCGGGTACCCATGGCCACCCCATTTGTCTGTAGGAAGTGGGAGGAATTGAAAGAGAAGTTGTTGAGGGTGAGGATGAGTTCGGCTAAGCGGATAGGGTGTCAGTGGAGGGGGACTGGTCGGGCCTGCAGGACAGGAAGAAGCGGAGGCCCTTTAGGCCAACTGCACGGGGAATGCAGGTGTATCGGGACTGGACATCCATGGTAAAGATGAGGTGACCCTCCCTCTACTGACCCGTTCTCCCGCCTCCAACACACCCCCTCCTCCTGGACACCACCCCAAGGCCTCCTACCCTCCCTCGACCGCTTCATCTCCAACTG